AGAGAGAGAGAGAGAGAGAGAGAGAGAGAGAGAGAGAGAGAGAGAGAGAGAGAGAGAGAGAGAGAGTTTTCCAGCCATGCACGCAGAGAGATAGAGAGAGGCTACTTCCATCTATGGGATGAGCAAAATCGGAACGAATCTTCGTCTGGGATATGGAAATATACACTGCTTTCCAGCCATGCATGCAGAGAGATAGAGAGAGGCTACTTCCATCGATAGGATGAGCAAAATCGGAATGACAGCCATGCGCGCAGAGAGATAGAAAGTGGCTACTTCCATCGATAGGATGACCAAAATCGGAACGAATAGTCCGCTAGAACATGGAAATATACACTGCCACTTTTTTTCTTCTTTTTTTGGGTGTGTGTGTGTGTGAGAAAGGGAGAGAGAACAGGTCAGTCTCCAACCTCGCGGCTGGCCTCACGCTACTTCCAATCGATAGGATGAACAAAATTGAATGAATCTTCCGCTAGAACATGGAAGTACACACTGCCACACTTGTAGAAACTGGGCCCCCCCACATCCGCACCGTCCCTCACATGTGTGTGTGCGATCGTTCCCGACACCCGCACGTAACCCCACCCCGCGATGTTCCACCGTAACGCTTCCAGTTTTGAGCTCACCCAGCATCGAAAAAAAACGGCGCGGACTTTTTGCATCACTCCCCCTTGTCAGCTCCTGCTTGGCCCGCGGCGCCCGCAGAAACCCACAACCTTTCCAGCACACGCGCTTTGCTCCTGGCACCGCGCCGCTTTGTGGGTCTGCCGTGCGGCACCGAATTTCGCTGGGCCCAATGGGAAGCGTCCCGTGGGGCCCTTTGCAGTTTGTAATAGTATAGAGAAGAGAAGAGATGAAACTTTTCGTATGAAACAACATTCCTGGTATTTGGAGTCCTTCCTCCAGTGTTATTCAAAAATATATACTTAATAGTAGTAAAAAACTCAAAAAATTTATTAGTTCACTAAATTTTAAAGGTAACGCAACATATCCTAGGTACCGCCCCCTATTTCAATGACTTTTTGCTCATCTCGTAATGGTTCCAAAGAGTTCAACGTCCATGCGAGCCGGTGGGTGATTAGCCCACGAGGCGGAAGAAACCTGAGTTGCAGGAACCCTCTGCGGGTGCACCGTCCACCAACCACAATCTGCTGAGAGAGGTTTGAGTGTGAGCATGCCTGTTGGGACCCCAAAGATGGTGAACTATGCCTGAGCAGGGCGAGGCCAGAGGGAACTCTCATGGAGGCTCGCAGCGTTACTGACGTGCAAATCGTTCGTCTAATCTAACCGTCTAGTAGCTGCTTCCCCCGAAGTTTCCCTTAGGATAGCTGAAGCTGTTGAACAGTTTTATCGGGTAAAGCGAATGATTAGAGACCTCGGGGGTGAAACACCCTCGACCTATTCTCAAAATTTAAATCTGTATCGTACCAATTCTAACAGACCTCGGAACGAAGACCATAATTAATTTAGAAAATTTAATAAAAATCCGCATGAAAGGTGGGGGGAGGAAATCACAGTTAAAACAATTTGATGGAATTCTTCACGACTTGAGAACAACAACAGAGAGACAGAGGAGACCGAGAGGTATTTGCCCTTTTCTATTGCTTTTCTTTTTATCCTAATCCCTTTTTTTTTGTTTCCCATTGACTACTTTTTGCAGCAGGTCAGAAGATCCAAAGGTGTTCCAAAACCATTCCCTAACCTTCTTAATTCACAATGTTTTCCTTCTTGGTAGGTCCCGTCTTCCATAATTTTTTTCCCCCTACCCCCACTTACTGAAAGGAGTGACATTGGCTCAAAGCTGGGGAGTAGGAAAATGGCGACATCGTCCGGATCTCCTCCACCTGTTGCAAGCAGAGTCCGCGATGGATTGATCGATCTGGTCATTCACACAATTCACACAGAAGAAAAAGTCCACTGGTTCAGTAAAAGAAAAAGGAGAAACAGAGAAGAAAGGAGAACAGTGGGTGGCAGTGTGTTACTTCATCGCCCTCGACGGATCATGCATGAATTGGGGCATGTGTCTTGAAATTCCTTCCAGTCTGATGACATGGGGCACCTGACCAACCGTAAACCCTAGTCGTGACTTAGGGAGTGAATAACGGAGTCCAAAAAAAAATCCAGTCTGATGATATAGGAAACCTGGTCAATAACTCAGGATTTAAAAAAAAATGAGTCAGAAAAACAGAAATTCAGCCTGATGATATAGGGCACCTGACCAACCTGACTTGAAAGGTCAGAAATGCAGTCCAAACAAAAAAAACAGCTCAATGATATCAGGAACTGAACCAACCATAACCCTAGTCATTGACTCGGGGGTTTGAAAAAAAAGGAGTACAGGAAACAACAATTCAGTCCGATGATATACGGCACCTGACCAATCATAAACCCTAGTCAATAAAAGTCCTGTTCGATGAAATGGCTCCTAAGCAATCATAAACCCTACTCAATGAGTTGGGAGAGTTCAGTCCGATGATATGGGGCACCTAACCAGCCATAAACCCTAGGAATTCAATAAAAGGAGTCCACAAAAATCCAGTCCGATGATATACATGGCACACTGACCCCTCTAAAGGGGTGCCTAGGCCCCCTATTTGTGAGACTCTTGACCCCTCTGACTGGGTACCCCTGTTTGTGAGAATCATGATCTCTCTAAAGGGCTGTGTGCCAATTTGTGAGACTTCCGACCCCTCCAAAGGGGTGACTGGGTACCTATTTGTGAAACTTCTGACCCGTCGAAAGTTGTGACTGGGTACCTATTTGTGAGACTTCTGACCCCTCTAAAGTGGTGACTGGGTACCCAATTTGTTAGACTCCTGCCCCCTCTAAAGGGATGGTTGGGTACCCTATTTGTGCCACTCTTGACCCCTCTAAAGGGATGACCGGGAACCCTACTTCACATGGAGTTAGTCGCAAAAAATGCCTTGCACGATGTGGCTGCGAGGTGGCTAGCACTCCTGCAAAGATCACCATTTCTTTTTGTTATCACCTACCTTGAGTGGTACTTCCAATCCTTTTGCTCTCTTGGATAAGCAGACGGGACAGTATGTGCGTGCTTTCAATGATAATGAGAATTAATAAATAAGAAGAAGAGCAAGAGAAATGACACCGAGGCCAACCCACTCAACTCAAGTTCGAAAATAATAAAAAAGCCACCTGACATCAGCGCCTAACCATAAACCCTACCGTCTTAACCCGAAAAGAGACGTACATATGTTCTATTCAACTAACCTCTGAAAAACAGGTTCTCAGAAATCGCTGATTTTTTTCCCTGAACAGAACGTATGGGTGAATATAACATACGTACGTTGTACTGGAATACAACATACATTGGTGTATTCAATTTTTCACAAATTTCAATTTTCAAAAAAGTCAGAAAATTCCCCGCCCCAAAAAAAAATGCCGTACAACATTGCAAAATAACCAACTTTTGCCTGAGGGTAATGTCGAAACTCAAAACCAAATCCAATGAAAAAAATTAAAAACCTGGGGAGATATCCTGGGCACCCGGGTCCCGACGTCACGCCCGGCTTGGCGACAGGGTGACCGGCCGGGCATGACCGCCGGGCATGAACCCGGGCAGCCCCAGCGCAAAAAAAAAAAAAAAAAAAAAAAAAAGTTCAAAAAACTCCAAAAAAATCTGAAAAAAACGTATGTTGTGTAGAATTGCAACACAAACAACTTTTGGCTGAGGGTCACATCAGAATTCCTCACGGAACTGAAGATTAAAAAACAAAAACAGCAAATGACACTAAAGCACCCCCCTTTAAACCCCTTTAGCCCCTTTTGCAATCAGACTCATCTCCTCTCTTCATTCAGCACGTGCGCAAACAGATGTCGACCACACTGGCGCCTTAGCGCCTCAGCCTCTTTGACAACAGACACAGCATCAGACCAGTTTGATGAGCTGGTCGCGGACGCTTTCTACGTGTTGGAGGGTGATCAGCGAAGTTTCGGGTGAAGTTTTGGGGAAAATGATGGGCTATGGAAGGGCGTAACACTCAGAGATTCGCCACCACTGCGAACTTGTGCATTGTTGCTTGCAATAACCCATACCATATGTCTCGTGGAAACTGAGGGTCTCAGAGGGCCTACATGGCCGCCCTCAGCCCAGGCCAAACAAGGGCAAAAGGCCCTACACGAATTCAGGGCCTGGGCGTGTGACAGTTGACTTCAGTCAACTGTCGGTCCACCCAACAGTCAAAGTCCAAAGGTACCTAGCCCAGGCCGCTGGGCAAGCACACACATTTGTTTGTATGCAGGTACCCAGACAGCATCACGTCCAAGGGAGAAGTCTGCAACTGTATCATCAGGGACTTCAGATGTGAGTCAATCTGGACGACTGAGGAAAGAGGACCAAGGCCGGACAGCCTCGACATCTGTTACTTAAGGCTGGCCTCGAGAGAGTCGAGCATTCAGTCTCGCTATGCTGCTTTGACGCTGGCTCGACTTTGGCACGATGCTGGCTTCATGCTGGCTGTGCACTAGCGTTGCGGACGACGACACGAGGAGGAGGCAGCATGCTGGCACTTCTTCAGTGCGCCAGGCCATGCTGACGGCGCTGCCTCTGGTCTGCGTGGGATGCTGATGTGACGCTGCCTCTGGTATATGTGGCGCTGCCTCTGGTCTACGTGGCATGCTGATGTGGCGTTGCCTCTGATATAAGTGGCGCTGCCTCTGGTATACGTGGTGCTGCCTCTGGTCTACGTGGCATGCTGATGTGGGGTTGCCTCTGGTGTACGTGGTGCTGCCTCTGGTCTATGTGGCGCTGCTACTGGTCTACATTGATGATGTAGCGATTGCCACATGTTTTCGATAGTTGACATGGCATTGTCCACGCTGTCTACATGAAGTGACTGGTTGCGAGGGAGGAGGAGGATCGGGATCTGTGGTTGAAGGAGAACGGGTACTCACCTGGGTCTGAAGTTGATACTGGAATCTGCAATGTCTTCATGGTCTTCATGAGATTGAGTGCCATATGGCACTTACATGTGTGATCAGGAATATACTTATTGTCATTGTTGATGTGGAGAGGGACGAAGCCAAGAGAAGGAGAGGGTTCAGAAGGGAATGCTGTGCGAATCTTTATCTTCTCCTTTGTCTATTTCCCCTCCACTCTCTTCTATTGATGATAATGAGATACTGTTTGAGATATTTCTTCACGAATTGGAGACTTTATTGCAGATACTGACCCTACAGGTATTTGACGACTTCTGAGTATCTGTCAGACCGGGTTCATTACATTGCTCATTTAAATGTTGTTAAATTGTCTACGCCTATTTTGGCGTTTCGACATGTGTACATGTGAGATCGTGAAGCTTTCTGTCAGTTTACGCCTTGACTCGATCGGCCATGGCCGATCACTGTACACTCAGCAACTTGTTTGCACACACTCAACTCCGGATCTCCTTGGATGTCCCACACACACTAACACACTGAACACACTCACACACACACACACACACACACACACACACACACACACATTTACTAACTCCCTACCACTAACACACAAGCGGATATGGCCGCGTCTTCCTCCTCTTAGCACACTTCTCCTACGGGCACCTGCAGACCTCCGTAGCACAAGACGCTCAGGCAGCGCTTCCGCACGGCTCACAGGCAGAATGAATGAATGACTTGACGCTGCCTTTTTATTTATACTTCGAATCGTCAAAGGTCTGCGTGCACACTGTCCCACATGGCACTTGCTGACTGGACAAAGTGCGACCTGGGACTGGGTACCGCTGACCAGCCTACGTTAGACTGCCCACTTGCCCACTTGTCTACGGACTGCGTCCTAGGACTTACGAAGGGGCAGAGTCGACTCATCTAAAAGGTCCTAGTCTAGCCTACGTGACCTTTCGGTACTGTACCAGCTACGACCTAGGTGACCTCTCGGTACTGTAGCAGCTATGACCTGTACTAATGCTACGACTCCTAAGACGCTGACCTACAGTTCGAGACCCGATGACTGACCTACCTACAACGGCTAAACATACGACTTTCAAAATGCAGGTCGTGGGTTCAAACATACACGGGCTCACGGGTATTGTACACGGGTGAAGGGAAGGACAAGGGATCAAGCCCTGGATGATGCATCTACTACCGTGAAAGTGAAAACCGTTTCACTCCCACCTGGCTAAATTCGAGGTCCTCCGAGAATATTTCAACGCGAGGCAGGACCTTTACCTTTCCTTTCTCTATCGTAGGCGTGCACTATGTTGGGAGCGGTCTCTAGAAGTTATGTTCTTGTAAACCAGCGGTCGTCCTCGGGTTCCTGATAAGCGAACCTAACTTTGTATTGTTTCAAGGAACGACCCCTACCTCCGGTTCTGAACACATCCTCTTCCACAATGTGGTCTATATCATAGGCGTCATCCATGTCCGGCGGAATCATTGCCCGGCGCGATGGAACTGTTGACTGGTGACGCAAGGCAACAACTTTGATGCGTGGAAGACTGGGTATGTGTGGAGGTGTGCTGGTATCTCAATCGTGTAAGATCGTCTGTTCTCTCCACCTTTTACTTCTAGGACAGGCCACGGTCCCCTGTACACGGTGTAGGGCCTCACCCTATTAGACTTTCGAGCCTACGTCGACCCTACTACGGGTCCCAGTTGGCTCGGCTCCGCCCACACTCATGCTCAAGGCGCGGAGCCATTCGTCACATGGTCACCCCCACCTAGTGCTTTGAGATGGATGGGGGTGGGGCATCGAGCGAGAGGGCTTTGACATTGGGGATGTAGCTCAACCCTCGCACAGGGTGGTAGTCTCGTTGACCTTTCGCAAGCGCAGTTTTCTCGATACTTAGTTGTGTTTGCAAACAATTGCTCTTTCCATACTCAAGCAGTCCAAGGAGTTCATTGAGTCTTTTCTTTCGT